GAAATCCCTGGACTCCAAGTTTGGATCTGCCTGGACTGTCAAGTGAACATGGTAACAATAAAAAGAAATAGGAGGTTCCTGGTGTGCGCCTGGGAAGCTCTGGTGGCCTTGTGTTAAAGAGTATACTGTCAGCCCAAAGGTATATTGCTCAAATCCACCAGCTGCTCTGCAGAAGATGGATGGAAAATCTACTGTGTGATTAACTGCCTCTGAAAACCCACTGGAAGGTCAGCTATGGGTCAGTTCCAAGTTGACAGCACAGAACATCATCTGGGAAGGAGCAGCCAGCCTCACTTCTGAGACAGTGAAGCCGGCACTGTGCTCAAGAGTCCACACGGCCAGAGCAGAACTTCTCCACGGGGCTCCATGTAGCACATCTCCTGAGGGCAGGTCGCATCACAGTGCACTGAGCAAAGAAGCCCTGGCATGTTCCGGAGGACAAGTCCCAGCTCAGCACTCAAAGCAGAGAAGCCCCGTCCATCACAGCGCACACTGCAGAGAAGCCCCAGCGCAGCACACAGCTGAGAAAGTCCCATCCATCACAGTGCACACTGCAGAGATGTCTCAGGGTGGAATAGCCCCAGTGCAGTGCAGAGTGGTGAAGCCCCGGTGCAGCGAAGCCCCAGCTCAGCACACAGCCGAGAAGCCCCGTCCATCACAGCGCACACTGCAGAGATGTCTCAGGGTGGAATAGCCCCAGTGCAGTGCAGAGCAGAGAAGCCCCGTCCATCACAGCGCACACTGCAGAGAAGCCCCAGCTCAGCACACATCCAAGAAGCCCCAGTGCAGTGCAGAGTGGACAAGCCCCAGCACAGCACACAGAGCAGAGAAGCCCTGTCCATCACAGCGCACACTGCAGAGAAGCCCCAGTGCAGCACAGAGTGGTGAAGCCCCGATGCAGCGAAGCCCGAGCTCAGCACACAGCCAAGAAGCCCCAGTGCAGTGCAGAGTGGACAAGTCCCAGCTCAGCACACAGCCGAGAAGCCCCGTCCATCACAGCGCACACTGCAGAGAAGCCCCAGCACAGCACAGAGTGGAGAAGCCCCAGCGTGTTCCTTGATGGCCTGCCTTGCTGGTTTAGTTGCTTAGTGTTCCTCTAACAGAAATACAGACAGAACTTGGAGCTATATGGGAGTTTCCTTCTAGACCAGCGCAATAAAGCAAATACTGCAATAAAGTGAGGCACACAATTGTTTTGGCTTTCCGTGCAGACAGGGAGCGCTGGTGGCGTAGTCTGTAGAGAGCTGCACTGCTAATCTAAAGGCTGTGTCTCCGGTGGTTCAAGTCCAGCAGCTGCTCCATGTGACACTGACAGGCTGTCTCCTCCCATCAGCTGGGGCGTACAATCTTGGAAATCAGGTAGAGGGTTGTTGAGTGGGAAGCAGCTCAAGGGCTGTGAGTTGAATGTGTGTAAGCTGTGTGCTGACATTCTGTGGCAGTTTGTGAACATAAAGGAAAACGAAAAAACATCCAAGTGACCACCATGTGATACAGATCTGGGATGCAGTGGGCAGTATGGGGAAAAGGACCACAGAAACCCCATGATCAATAAGTGTTGGGTTTTTTGTTTGCTTCCCCCCCTTTTTAATATGGGTTTATTGACAGAGTTTAAACACATTGTTTTTCTCACCAGGTCCTTCCCATTTCCTTCACCCCTCACTCATCAGATTGTATGGTCCTATGATTAACCACCCTCCTGCCCATCCTCACCCTCTGCTTCCACCTTCTCCCCTTTGGACACTCATACTCATTCTATAATGATGGTTTTATACAATATTTGTCTTTAGGGACTGTGTTCACTGAGCATTATGCCCTCCAGTCCCTCCCAAGTTAGGTAGTAATTTATAAAATCATTGCTTTTGCATGCTGTGTAGTGTTCCATTGTGTGAATGCACCATAATTTCTTAATCTACTCCATTGTGGTCAGACATCTGGGTTGTTCCCATGTTCTTGTGATAGGGAATAACACTGCAATGAACATTAGTGTACAAGCCTCTATCTGTGCCTCAGTTCTCATTCTCTCAGGGTATATTCCAAGCAGTGCAATAGCTCGGTCATGTGAAATTTCTATGTTCAGCTTTTTGAGGAACCGCCAAACTGCATTCTAGAGTGGTTGTATCATTTTACAATCCCACCAACAATGTATAAGAGTTCCTATCTCACCACATTCTCTCCAACATTTATTGCTTGCTGTCCTGTTAAACTTTGCCACTGCTACTGGAGTGAGATGGTATCTCATTGTGGTTTTGGTTTGCGTTTCTCTTATTGCCAGTGATTTTGAGCATTTCTTCATGTGTCTGTTGACCATTCGAATATCTTCCTCTGTGAAAACCCTTTGCCCATGTTGTAATTGTGTTATCAGTCTTTTTCTTGTGGAGTCCCAGGAGCATTCTGTGAACTTATTTATGAGACTCTTGTCTGAGATGGTATTGCTGAATGTTTGTTCCCAGTGGGTAGGTTTTCTTTTCACCCTGTTGGAAAAAGCTTTTGATGAACACAGGGATTTAATCTTTAGAAGATCCCATTCATCAATTTCATTCTCTTCAGATTGTGCATTTCTGGCTGTATTTGGCAGTCTTTTTTTACCGTATACTAGGCTTTCTAAGCTTGATCCCAGTTTGTCTCTGATTAACTTTATGGTTTTGGGATTTACTCTCAGGTTTCTGATCCACTTGGAGTTGATTTTTGTGTATGGTGTGAGATGTGGATCCTGTTTCAGCCTTCTGCAGATAGCAGTCCAGTTTTGCCAGCACCATTTGTTGATAAGAGGTTGTCATTTCTCCATTTGATATATTTTATTTGCTTGTCAAGTATCAGTTGACTATAGATAGCTGAGTCCATTTCTGGTTCTCAATTCTGTTTCATTGGTCTATGTGCCTGCCATTGTACCAGTACCCTGCTGTTTTGGTTACTACCACTGTGCAGTAGTTTTTGAGGTCAGGGGGTGCTATGCTTTCCACTTCTGTTTTTGTTTCTCAGAGTGTTCTGCTTATTTGAGGTATCTTTCCTCTTCAAATAAATTTTACAATTTCCATCTCAATTTCCTCGAAAAATGTATTTGGTATCTGTATTGGGATTGCATTGAACATGTAGACTGCTTTTAGTAGGATTGTCATTTTCACAATATTGAGTGTTCCTATCCACAAACGGCACATTTTTCCATTTCTGTAGGTCTTTTATTGTGCCTTGCAGAAATGTTCTGTAGTTTTCTTTGTACAGGTCTTTTGTGTCTCTAGTTAGGTTCACTCCCAAGTATTTCAATTTGTAGTGGCTATTGTAAATGGTATTGCTTTCTTGGTTTCTTTCTCTGAATTCTCATTGTTACTGTAGAGAAATTCCACTGATTTTTGGATATTGATCTTGTATGTGCCACTCTACCAAACTGGTCTACTAACTCTAACAGGTTTTTTTTTTTGTTGAGTCTTTGGGGTTTTCTGTGTACACTATCATATCATCTGCATATAGTGATAGTTTACTATCTCTTTGCTGATCTGGATGCCTTTTATTTCCTTCTGTCATATTGCCCTTGGAAGCACTTCCAACAATATTGAATAGAAGTGGTGACAGTGAACATCCTTGTCAAGGAAAATGCTTTTAGTTTTTCTCCAGTGAGAACGATGTTGGCTCTTGCTTTTGCATATATACTTTTCACTCTGTTGAAGACATTTCTTCCTATTCCAATTTTGCTGAGTGTCTTTATCAGGAAGAGGTGCTGGATTTTGTCAAATGTCTTTAATGCATCAATTGCTAAGATTATATAGTTATGGCTATTTGCTTTGTTAATATGGTGAATTATGATGATTGTTTTTCTTATGTTGAACCATCCTTGCATACCTGTTATGAATCTCAGTTGGTCAAAGGTCATAAAATACAGAACAAAAATGAAGTGTGCTTTAGCAAACAGAAATGTATTCTCAAATTATTACTTGGAGAGGAACATGATGCTTGGAAAGATGGGGGGGGGGTCAGCAAAAGAGAGGAAGACCCCCAGCAGTGAGACGAGTGACACACAAGTACATCAGCAGACTCTGTGTCAGAGACTGAGGAAGGCACAGGACAGGACAGGGGTTGGATCTATTCACAGGGTCGCTGGGAGTCATACCTGACTAGATGGTCTCTAACAACAACAACAACAACTGCTGCTGAGCTGTTCTGACTCATGACAATCCTCATTGGGCTTCCGAGGCCATGCATGCTTACAGGAGAAGGGTGCTGGTCTTTTTCTATGGACTGGCTGATGGATTCAAACCATCAACCTTTAGCAGCTCTACAGGCCAGCAGTCTGAGTACAAGGCAGCCGCTGTGAGGAAGACTCTCTTGTTTGCTCCGGGGGAGGCCCCGGCTTCTCTCACATCTGCTCTCTGTTACCCTGGAGAGTCCATGTGACACGTTAACTGCTCTCCCCCATCGGCACTTTTTCTCTCTGTGGTGACTGTCCTGAGACACACCCTCCTCTGACATAGTCCCATGACTACAATGCAGAAAACCCCGCCCCAGATGCATCACATCCACGTGTACACCCGGCAAACCTCTCTGCCAAGTCGGTTCTGCTCACAGCATCTCTCCGCTAGCTTTCCCAGGCTGTGGGTCTTTAGGGAGGAGACCATCCACCTTTCCTCCTGGAGAAGCTGGTGGATTTGAACCTTTGACCTTTCCATTAGCACCCTAACTCATCATACCCCACCCCACCAGTACTCCCTGTCCACATGCGAGGAATTCGACTTTACATGCATATTTTGCTGGGACACAATCCAAGTCCAAACACTGGGATAAGAACAGGTCAGTTCCTTCCAGTTTGCCCTCACCTTGTGGTGACTCTTGGTGTTCAGAGCTGAGACCTCGCAGAAGACCTGGCCTTCCTCCCCAGGCACCCCCAGGTGGATTTGAACAGACAACCTTTCAGTTAGTAGTAGAGTACTAAGCACCTGACCACCCAGTGAGTCCCACGTTGGGAGAGAGGACATGACATGTTCTACAGGACAGGACCCTGAGTCACTTACTTAGCTTGTGCCAGCACCCCGGTGACTTCGGCGTACAGATCTGCCACGATGTGCATGTTCCCAGTGTTGGGGCCCAGGTACCTGCGGAGGAAGGCAGGGAGGCAGGTCAGGGAGTGTGGACATGAGCCAGGGCCATGAGCACCTCACCATGAGTGCCCCCACGATGAGTGTCTCCAGAGAGGGCTCCCTCACTGCTGGTGACCCCCACTTCTGAGATCCCCTCTCTGCTGATGCCCCCCTCTGCTGGTGTCCCCCCATTGCTGGTGTCCCCTCATTCCTGGTGCTCCCCACCATGAGGGTCCCCCATTGCAGGGCCCCCCCACTGTCAGCTCCCTACCAATGCCTCCCACTGCAAACAGCCCCTACTATGCCCCTCTCACTGCTAGCACCCCCCATATTTCCCCCACTGCCAGAACCCCCACCATAGTCTCCCTACCACACTGCCAGTGCCCCCCACAGCCCTGCCACCACCATCCCCTCCAATGTTCTCAGGAGGGAGGAAGACTTACCCTTCTTTGTACTTAAAGTGCTTGAAAGCCAAGTTAATGACATCATGGATTAAACTGTCTACCACGGGGTGAAGCGGAATCTGCAACAAAGGAGGAAAGAGAGTCATATCTAGTCATGGACAGGCACGTGCTCAGGAGACATCAGCGGCGACGTTGCTGGCGATGACCAACAACCCCTGACATTGCCTCACGCACTGATTCTGAGTCAGGGTCCCACCCCCTGGGCTTCTGAGAGTAAGCTACCAGCAGTGGCCAGCCTTCTCTCTCTCCCCCCTCTCATGCCGACTCAATGTCTGATTCACTGAGCTACCAGGGACCAAACCCAACCCATTCCCATCGAGTCGATTTCAACTCCCAGCAGCCCTGCAGGGCAGAGTAGAACAGACCCTGCAAGGTTCCAGGTCAAGTTAATGGAGCCGGAGCCAAGGCCTCCGCTGTCTCCTGAAGGTCTGCTGGTGGGCTTGAACCTCTGACCTCATGGTTCGTAGCCGAATGCCTTAACCATAGCACTGTGAGCAGTCTTATAGATGGCCTTCACGAAAACCAAAACCACGGCCACTGTCCTCAGTGCCGAGGTTTTCCACATGCTTTCCTGGCCGCAAATCTTGAGGGGTGAAGGCGACTTATCTTTCTTCCAGGAGTCGAATGGTGGGTGTGAACCACCAACCTTCCAGTTGGCAGCCATATACATAACCCACCGCACCACCAGGGCTCCTAGAGGGGCCTTTACAATAAAACCAAGTTCACTCCTGCTCATCGCGACCCAGTGGGGCAGAATCAAACTGCCAGTAGATTTCCAAGGCTCTACCAAAGCAGCCCATCCCACTGTCCCCCAAGAGCTGCGGGTGGGCTTGAACTGCCGGTCTTTAGATTAGAAACCAAACACCGTAACCACAGCTCCATCAGGGCTCCTACATTTGGCCTTTAGCAAAGAAAAACAAAGTTTACTTAGGGTGTCAAGTTCTAAGTATTCCACAGGGAGGCCAAGCCGGGCAGAACTGCCCCATGCAGTGTGGTCACTGTAATCTTTACTGGAGACACCCAGTGGGTCTGAACCGCCCACCTTCCAGCTAACAGCCAGATATTTAACCACAGCACCACGAGGGTGACCCACTGGCTCTTACTTGGGATTCATGAACAACTTAATAAACATAACTTTAAAAAAGGAAATGGTTTTTAGAGTAACAAAGCTTATTTAAATGTATTACCTACCTGTTTCAAAACTTCTATTAATACTAAAGAAAAAATAAAATCAATGGCGAGGTCCCGTCTTTCCATTAAATAATCTCGTTGTTGTTCGTCACTGTAAGAATGAAAACATTAAAATTAAATGACACTGCAGATACTCGGAGAATCACAGAATTCATGGAAAATCAGAAGCCTCAGCCACCAGTCTCCTCCCTTGAGGGTTTACGGACTCTGGAGTGATGCAGGGTCACTGTGAATCCCAATCGACCTGGCTTGGTTATGGGTTTGGTTAATCAATCATCAAGGAAACAAATTCTGGGGGAAAAAGTGAGTTTTGGTAAAACTCTGTTAAAAAGAAGGAGTAAAACAAAAATTCACTTAACAGAACTCACTCTAATCCTTCCCTCACTCTTCACCAAAGTAAAGCTTTAACTTTTGTTCATAAGCCAGTATACAAATGGAAAAAAAAAACAATAAAACAACCCCATTAATTTATTAGTCATGCAGCCGGCACCATTTACAGAAAGAGAACGGAAGTTCCAACGATCAATTTCTAATTTGATGCATTAAAAAGCGGTGTAAGGAGAGAGGCAGATTTGTTTGTGGAGTTGGCAGTGAAAACGTTCTAGGATTAGTCAGTGGTGACGGCTGTATCCATGTGCTGCTGGTGGCGTAGGGCATTATGTGCTGGGCTGCTAACCAAAAATCAGTGGTTTGAATCCACCGGGAAGCATCCCCCACGCGGGCTGGACGGGCTGTCTCTTCCTGTGAAGTTTTACAGCCTCAGAAACTGGCCTGAAGGTTCCATGCGTCAGAACGGCCTTTACAGCGACGTAGCGGGCATGGCCGGATGGGTGCAGACTCTCAAACGTTCTTCAAAGCTACAGAATGATACACTTTATTATTAAAATGGTGTATTTTATGATGCGTGTACAAGAAACTATTTATTTGAAAAGTTATAATCTGTCCCCAAAATAAAATGTCACATGTCCAAATATCACATGTCTTCTTGTGTACCATGGAATCAGAACTGACTCACAGCTGACCCTCCACGGGGTTTTCAGAGTCCGTAAACTGTGCAGGGGGAGCCTGCTCATCTTTCTCCCATGGAACAGCTGGTGGAGTCGAACTGGGTTCCTCTGGGTTGGCAGCATAACCTCTATTCAGCCACCAGAGCTCCCATATTTGAGTTTATTAACGTTAAAGTGCTCGGCTGCTAATCAGAAGGTTGGCGGTTCAAACCCACCCACCGCTCATGGGAGGAAGATACTGTATTCTACTCTGCTTGAACCTCTGCTTCTCTATCTGAAGCTTCTCTACCTGAAGCGCTTGATGCAGAAGGTCAAGGACTGCAGCCTTCAGTACGATTGAAGCTCAGCATAAAGAAAATAAAGATTCTCATTACTGGGCCAATTGGCAGCATCATGATAGATGGAGAAGGGATTGAGGTTGTTAAAAGCTTCAAATTTGCTTGATTCCACAATCAACATCTTGGCAACAGCAGCCAGGAAATGAAAATATGAATTGCACTGGGAAAGTTAGCTGTCAGAGACCACTCCAGAGTACTGAAGAGCAATGAGTCAGTCTGGAGACTAAGGTGCCCCTGATTCAGGACATAGTCTTTGCAATTACATACGATGCATCAGAAAACTGGACAATGACTAGGGATGATAGAAGGAGAATTGATGCCTTTGCACTGAGGTGCTACAAAAGAGTATTAAATATACCATGGACTGCTAGGAGAACAAACAGGCTTGTTCTGGAGAGGGTGAAGCCGGCCTGCTCCTTTCAACATGTTGCAAGGAGGGACCAGTCCTTGGAGAGTGACATTATGCTTGAAAGGATGGAGGGACAGTGCAGGAGAGGAAGACCCTGGATGAGATGGACTGATTCAGTGACTGGAGTAACGGGGGTAGGTGTGTCAGAGACATTAGGAGTGGCACAGGATAGAGCAGTGTTTAGGGCTGTTGTACATAGGTTTACTATGAGTTGCAGATGACTCGATGGCACCTAACAACAACAACCACTGCCTCTCTATGTCTTTGAGAGGCATGAAGAGGTAGAGGTTTATCCCTTGCCACCTGGCTGGACTTTAAGCCAGGTCCTCCTCACATGGTGCCCTGGGGACACTAGGTGACCCTCCCTGGTGCCACCTCACCGTTGCCTGCAGTTTTTGCTTCTGGCATTTGTTTTGAGAGGTAGTTTGGAAAAAGGCCATGTATGTGGATATTCAAGTTAAGCAGATCTGGCCTGGGATTATGTTACCATGATCTGTGACCTTGGACAAATCTTAGAACCTCTTTGAGACTCAGATGTCTCATTTGTCATGAGTGGAAAAAATCCAAATCCAGGGAGGGGATTCTAACTCCTAACAGACCTCGCTGGCTGGGGGGAACTTCCCAAGAGCAGCTGGTGGAGTCTAACCACTGGGACACACAGCCTCTCGGGTTAGCAGGGTCACACTCTGTCAACCACACCCCCGGGGTGCTCCTTAAACCATTCTCTCCCATACTTCGGCATATTATCAGGAGGGCCCAGTCCCTGGTGTAACACACCACGCTTGGAAAAGTTGGGAGCCAACAAAGGAGAGGAAGACCCCCCAAGGAGACAGACGACGTCACAGTGACTGAGCGGTGGACTGAGGTCGAGCAGGGACTGTGAGCCTGGAGCAGGGACGGGTCAGAGTTTTCAGTCTGTGGGTCGGAGTCAACTCCACGGCACACAGGGCTCCCGAAGCTGTAACCCCTGAGACAGTGCATCGTGCTGTCCCTCACAGAGCCAGCAGGTTTGAACCACTGACCTTGAGTGTAACAGCTGACTGAGTTAATCATTGCACCACCTGGTTGCCGCCAGGTGAAGGGCTGAAGTACCACCCAGGAGTCCCTGCCGACTGTAGGTCTCAGTGTAGACGGAGACAAGAGGGAGCAGGAAAGAAGCAGGTAAGTGACCTGAGGATGCCACGCAGAATTTTCGAGTCCTCGTGACGCAGTGGTTAAGTGCTTGGCTGCTGACTGAAAGGCCGGCATTTCCAAACCACCTCGTGGTTCCACGGGACCACGGCCCAGCAATCTGCCTCTGGCCACAGCCTAGGAAGCCCAGTGGGCGAGCTCTTCACTGCCATGGCTTGTGGGGAGTCAGAATCAACTCGGTAACAATGAGTTCTCAGTCTGCAGCAGCTGTGGACAGCAAGTCTTCACAACGTGCCCACGCGAATCCCTCCTTGTGACAAGGATTCTGCAGCAGAATCTTAAGGAAATCCTTCAGTAATGGCAGCCAGGCACCGTCTACTTCTGCTCTCATGACACAGAGGGAGATGCCCGAAGTAGCCTCGTCCCCTTGTCTGATTTCTGACCCTTCTTCACCCTTTGCCTTTCCAGGTGGTCAGAGGTAGTAGTCTAGCTTGGAAGGCCACTCGCAAACTTTTACAAAGCAAACTTGGATTTCAAGGATTATCTTTGAAATTCAACTGAGAACTTGTTCCAGAGAACTTGGCTTTGAAGCACACAGCAGCCTGACCTTATTAGCAAAGCATGCCTTCCCTGAGCATTGGGCCTTCACAGGCTTACCTGTGAGGATTCAAGATGACAACAGCACCTTAAAAGGCTGCACGGGAGGCCCAGGGGGCAGCGGCATGAGGTTAATGGCAATGCAGTGATTTGGAAAAGGATAGAGAAACATCAGTCGGTGAGTGTAAACTAGGTTTAAACATTGTACCTGTGGAACTGTTTTAAATAGTGTCTCCTTTCCTGGGCATATTTCCACAAAAGCCACATCTTTGCAAGACAGTGAAGAAAAGCAGCAGAGAGAAGCCACAATGCAGACACACAGAAACGTACCTTTTGGATTTACTGGTTGTCCTTGGTCTGTACTCGTGGGATTCATCCTCCATGCCGTTTTGCCTCTTGTACCAGTCAAACAAGGTGCGGAGCATGGAGGGCAGGCAGTACTCAGACAGGGAGCTCATGGAGCTGATGACCTGCAGAGAGACAGCCCGGGACGTCACCGCAGAGTGCTCTTACCTCTGTCCTCCGGCTCTTCTTCCTTAGAGTATCCCCAGAAGACTGGGTGGTGCCACCATCAAGCACTCTGGTTCAGACTCAATAGGTTAGCGGTTCAAACCCTCTAGCAACTCTGCAGAAGCAAGACCTGGCAATCTGGTCCCATAAAGAAGGTGGCCGAGGAGACCTGAAGGGGCAGTGCTACCCTGTCGTGTGGGGTCACCAGGTGTCTGAATCTACTTAATAGCCCCTAACCACCACCACCACCACCATCACCACCACCACCACCATCACCACCACCACCACCACTACCTGCCCCCCACACTTAATATTAACACTTGTTCCTCATATGACAATTTTGTGGTTCCGGGACGTGAATTCCTCGACGTGCTATCATTGTAACATCAGGCGTTACTGCAGACGGGCAAGTAACCTCACTCCCACCACCTCTCCAGCAGATAGCTGATCTCCTATTCCTTCCACTGGTGGGCCCAGGTCTCTCACCCAGCAGTGGTCAGGCAGATATGAATCCCTCACCTTTCAGTTAGGAGCTGAGGGCTTAACCGTTATGCCTCTTTGATCTTTTGCCAATCATGATTAAAAAAAAAATAATCTTGACCTATACCCCCTGCAGCGTGCAACTCAGAAGAGACCACACATTTAAATATAAAACTGAAAACAGTAAGAATACTAAAGAAAATGTTGCTGTTGTTGTTATGTGCCGTCGAGTCACTTGTGACTCATAACGACCCTATGTACAACAGCCCTAAACTCCGCTCTGTCCTGTGCCAATCGCACTGTCTCTGACACACCCATCCCAATTACCCTAGTCACTGAATCAATCCACCTCATAGAGGGTCTTCCTCTCCTGCGCTGTCGCTCCACCCTCCCAAGCATGATGTCCCTCTCCAAGGACCGGTCTCTTCTCACAACATGTCCAAAGTATGTTAGACGGAGCCTCAGAATCTTTGCCTCCAAGGAGCCACCCGGTTTAACCCTTTCCAGGACAAATCTGTTTGTTTTCCTAGCAGTCCATGGTATTCTCAATACTCTTCTCCAGCACCACAGCTCAAAGGCATCAATTCTCCTTCTATCCTCCCTGGTCATTGTCCAACTCTCTGATGCATAACAAGTGATTGCGAAGACTATAGCCTGTATCAGACGCACCTTGGTCTCCAGAGAGACACCATTGCTCTTCAGTACTTTGGAGAGGTCCCTAACAGCAGACTTTCCCATGGCAATGCACCTTTTAATTTCCTGGCTGCTGGTGCCAAGACTGTTGACTATGGAGCCAAGCAAACTAAAGCTGTGTACAATCTCAATCTCTTCACCATCCATCCTGATGCTACCAATTGGTCCAGTGGTGAGAATCTTTGTCTTCTTGACATTGAGCCTCAATCTATATTGTAGGCTGCAGTCCTTGACACTCTGCAGCAGGCGCTTCAGGTCCTTTTCATTTTCAGCAAGCAGGGTTGTGTTATCCGAACGCAGGTTGTTGATAAATCGTCCACCAATCTTGACCCCACATTTCTCCTCATAGAGCCCCGCCTCCCGGATAATCTGTTCTGCATATAGGTTGAAAAGGTATGGAGATAGGATGCATCCTTGGTGTACACCCTTCCCAATTTTGAACCATGCAGTGTTCCCTTGCTCTGTTCTGAAGACTGCCTCCTGGTCCAAGTATAAGTTTCACATTAGAATGATCAAGTGTTCTGGGATTCCCATTCTTCTCAGAGTCAGCCATAGTTTGTTATGATCTACACAGTCAAATGCCTTTGCATAGTCAATGAAACACAGATAGACATTTCTCTGGTATTCCCTGCTTTCAGCCAAGATCTATCTAACATCAGCTACAATATCTCTAGTACCACGACTTTGTGACTTTGAGGTACATTATGTTCTTAGGTGTAAGTCTAGAAGCAAACCCACAAAAGCGAAATTGATGTGCTGGGCTTTATAGAAATGAAAAGCTTGTGCTGATAGATAATATATAAACAGACAGGCTGGAAAAGCAAGTTACAAACTGAGAGAAAAAAATATATGCAAAATACATATAGGACCAAGGTCTTATATCCAGAATATGTAAAACCACCGTCAGAAGTGCTTTTAACATTTAATGAGCTCACAGTAAAACCTAGACTCACTGTGCCACACTGATTCCATCTCCCAGTGACCCTGGGGACAGAGTTCGCACTGCCCCCAGGATCTTCTAGGTCACACTCAGCAGAAACCATTGTGCCACACTGATTCCATCTCCTAGTGACCTTTGGGGGACAGAGGTGCACTGCCCCCAGGACCCCCAAGGCCACACCCAGCAGGAACACATCGCAGTCCATGTGGCCTGCAGATTGGCTGTTGGGTTCCTGCCGACCTTTCAGTTAACAGCCTAGCACTAAACCACTGAACCACCCAGGCTCTTTCAACATTTCTCACACAGCGGGCCTGGCTTCAGTCTGCTTGGCAAGTCTGTGAGGCCCGTGGCAGCCCTGTGCTGAGCAAGTCTACGGGCATCTCCACGCTCTGTGCTCATTGCATGTCTCTATCGTCCCATCCAACATTCTCACAACGTGTCAGATGTTGTCTTAATGTTACTGCACACTGAACAGACTACAGTACAGGAGAAACATAACTTTCCACACACTGGTAGACAAAATATTCATCTGATTCGTTTCCTGCATCTCTTGCTTTTCTGCGGAGGCCTGGAACTGAACTTGCATTCCCTTCAGGTCACACGCAGGCCTGGGGCTGGCCCTCTCACTGCTGCAAGGGAGGAGCCACAGCCCCAGTGGGTTTCTGAGGCTGTAAGTTGCACAGGAGACGTCCCTTCACTTTTCTGCAGAGCTGGTGGATCTGAACCACGGGAGACGTGCAGTGTTTGTACAGCAGCACCCCACCCCCACCCCAGGACTACAAAACGAGATGCAAGGAAATAGATCCATTCACACATTGCTGATAAAGAAAAAATGTGGCATATCTGGAAAGCAAGTTGAAAATATATACCAAGAAGCTAATAAAAGTTGTCCTCAATAGGGCCTGGTCTTAAGAAATGGTCTCAAGTTCTTAGAGATTGTTGTTATTGTTGCTGTTATGTGCCGTCGAGTCGCTTGCGGCTCATAGCGACCCTATGTACAACAGCCCTAAACCCTGTGCCAATCTCACTGTTTCTGACACACCCATCCCGATTACCCCAGTCACTGAATCAATCCACCTCATAGAGGGTCTTCCCCTCCTGCGCCGTCCTTCCACTCTACCCAGCATGATGTCCCTCTCCAAAGACCTGTCTCTCTTTACAACATGTCCAAAGTATGTCAGGCGAAGCCCCAGAATCCTTGCCTCCAAGGAGAAGCCTGGTTTAATCCTCTCTAAGATGAATCTGTTTGTTTTCTTGGCAGTCCATGGTACATTAGTACTCTTCTTCAGCACCACAGCTCAAAGGCATCAATTCTCCTTCTATCCTCCCTAGTCATTGTCCAACTCTCTGATGCATAACAAGTGATTGCAAAAACCATGGCCTGTATCAGGCACACCTTAGTCTCCAGAGAGACACTGTTGCTCTTGAGTACTTTAGAGAGGTCCCTAACCGCAGACTTTCCCATTGCAATACGTTTTTTGATTTCCTGGCTACTGGTGCCAAGATTTAGTGAGGCCGTTAAGGTAGCACTGCTCCCTGTCTCACCACAGGGAAACCACCTAAATGTCCATGCACATGTGCACGTCCAGAAATGTGGGGTACGGCACAGTCAGCTCAGACACTAACAGCCCCTGGACGGGCACCTCGCCCATTCCTGTGCCAGCTTCGTACTCTGTGTCCACCCATCCCCCAGAGCTCACTGGGCCTTCCTATCTTTCACCGATGGCCTATCTCCTTTTAGAGGACCATTTCAGACGTCTTTAATAACATAAAGTGTTACTGATATACTAAGTCGCACAGGAGTGCGAGACTAGCTGATTAACTGAATAGTCTGTAAATCGAACCCTTTGCCATGGAGACAGTTCCCACTTCCGGGACTCTCTTGGACACAGCAGAACGGCCTCATGGGGTTTACCAGGCTGGAACCTCTACAGACGAGCCTGGTGGGGCAGGGGTTAAAAGCACAACCACTAATCAAAGGACCGGTGATCTGAGCCCGCCAGCTCTCTGCGGCAGAAGGACCTCTCAGTCCCAGTTTGCACCGATTATTTAAGCCAAACCCAGAGCTGCTGAATGGGTTTCAACGCACGGCCACCCTCCGCTGGGCCCTGAGGCGGGATCTTCATGGGAAGACCCTGCCCGGCTTCCCCAGCAGGCAGCTGGTGGGCTGGACTGCAGAGCTCTCGGTCAGCAGCCTGACGGAGACGTCATCCACTATCCCACAGGACTCGGCAGAACCCAGAGGAGGAGTCAGTGGTTTTTACAGGCCTCCCCGTGAACCCAGCTCGCATTTATTTTAATTTTTTATATCTCATTTATTTATGAAAACAGCCCTTTATTTCCCCCAGCCACACACATGTTTCGGCCATGGCTATGGACACCCCAGGAGGAACTTCTGGAGCATGTCCTGACTGAGACGGCGGGACAGTGGGGACTGTGATGCCCAGCGAGCCCGGCAGGGTTTCCCTCCGTGACACGAGGGGCCCTGGGAGTGGGAGCCGACTTGCCGGCTGCTCACAGCGACTGACGGAAGCCCTGTGTGAGGAGGGAGGCTGGCGGGGACCCACTTCTCCTCGATGTTCCATCAGCGCTGCTTCTGTGCAGAAAACTGTGACTCCGACGTCCCCAGTGTTGGAGTGGATGCCCCGTCAGTTCATTCCCAGGCTCTAGTCTCTGTGGAGGGAGCGCAGGGGCGCAGGTCTCTGGTGATGTTCTGACAGAGACACCCCGAGTGGGTCACTTTAACACAGACTGATCCTCTCACAGCTGAGGGGGCGGCTACCAGGCTGACTTTGGGGTGTCGGCTCTGGAGGAAGGTCCTCGTTTCCTTCCTCACCTGTGGACTGG